AATCAAAATTTCTCTGATGCAGGATAATTCCAAAACAAATATTATCCCGCAATTGTTTTTAATAGATTAGTTTATTTGGAGTTTCGGTGTATGCCCATATTTTAACATTACGTGTACTTTGATACGGTTGCTAACGAAAGGGTTTCAATTGGGAACGTTTGGTCCCGGCCTTTTTGATCTTTTTTACTTGGAAAATTCACGGCAAATTGAGAGTAATCTTTTTTTCTGCTATCAAAATATTGTGTTAAAAATTCATTTCTTTATACTTGTTCAGTTTTTTCCTGCAGTTATTGTATTTTAAGTTTTAAGTATCGCAGTTACTAATCATAGATACACTGTAACATAAATTAACTTTAGGTTATTGTTTTTGGTGGGTTCCGAATATTTATTGAATAAATATTGCTGCCGCTCAGATTGAGTAGTCCTTATTAGCTGCCAAATGCAGTTCCTGGCTACAACCCATTTGCATGCCTTTGCTGTTTTCTTCCGAAAAACATTAGACACTACACTACACTATTAAACACCTACACTACACTAAAAAAATAAACGTGTAGGCAGTTTTGTTACACGACTTCACCTGCTTCGTCAGACCAGACTTTTGCTTATCATTTGTTCATATTGTGTACATACGTACCCTCAACAACTGGAATAACATCAATATGATCTCCGACATCAACTGAAAGAAAAACCTCCATTACAAATACAGGAAACATTCAACGACTATCTCGGTAAAAGCCGGYAAGGAGAGACTGAAATACTGGACTTACCAATCACTCCAGAAACAGCACTGTATGAATACATGGCCAGTATGGCTTGTTCCTGAAGATAACAGGCTTCGACATTGAAGAACCCTAAGAGAATCTCTACAAGATCTCCCTGAATTGAAATATTCCAATCATTAGTACCATACATAGAAACATGTAACAGAATACCAGGCCAGAATGCTATAGAGAGTTGAAGCATATCGTAGATGGTAGAAGGCAAAGATCGGCAAATGACCATCGAGTTTCGCGCCTGCCATTGCGCGTTTGGTACTCAAGCGAATCGACCGAGCAAACGAGCTAAAAAGGCATGCTAAATTAGTGTTTAATGAAATAATTAACTTTAGTGTATTACAAAAGCACAGGAGCCCAATTTCTAGGAGCGTCCCTGATGTGTATTGGGTTCGCAGTGTTTKTATAGACGTCTCTATTTTTAGATTACTTTAGACCAATGATCAGTCACTTTCCGTGTTACACGTGAGCGGGAGATCCGCGTAAAACCGAAATAAAATAATAAGAACCACGGCGAACGATAGTGAAAGCCAATTTTCGTCTAGATACCTCTAGGAAAACGCCGTGACACTCCTGTATATAAGGGCATGTTCGCTCCTAGTAATAGGCTACTGAGAGAACCAAATACTTTTAAGAAAATCAATCTCTGTTTGATTTCGAAAAATTCGCAAAAGTATTCCCAAATTGTGAATTTTGCGAATTACTCGAAATGAAACAGATTATTATTTTTGTTGCCAGTTTGCAATATTATAATGAAATGATTCCTTTTACTTCAGTGTCACATAAGTTGTTTACGACATGAGCTGCCGTGTTGTATCACATGGTAATTACAATCTCGAGCCGCATGCGACACGACCGCTCRTGTTGTAAACTTTACATAACTACCCAATCTGGCCCAGTTTTCTAAAAAAAATCCTTGGTGCGGAGGTCCTTTTCCGACTTTTTTTGCAATGTTATTCACAGTTCCGAGACTTCGGCTCCAATGAAATTCTTTAAACTTCGCAAGATTGTGTCTTTTGAGTTTTTATAAAATGGATCCTAAAATTTTCATCAAAATATAACGGACCAATGCTATGGAAAATTGAGTTTTTTCGTGAAAACAGTGCATATGCTCGTAAGCATGTTAATCACAAATTACTTGCATAAAATGCAATCCAAGTACATCATAGCATGGGTACATTATTGCTTTAGTGGTTGATCAAGCAAAGTTATGAGTCGAACATCAAATAACTGATTTGGCATTTTGCAAATGATAATCCGCCCTTAAATTAAACGTGCACAGAGACGCTATTTAATCCTACGTGCACTCTCATTGGTCAGAACAACATTTATGGTTTTCGTTCAACCGTTTTTTAYACTCGACTTCGACTTCGCTTCGTGGCGTAAATTTTTTTTTCTCGTCATATTTTGATGTCATCTGTACTGTATCTATTGGAGTACAGAAATCAACGTACAGGCTACATCGTACATAAAATAACATAAGAACCTAAAAGACAACAACGACTCAGTTCACCTTGTCCTTTTGGCTGGTATTTTGTGGAATTGTCATCACCACCTATACAATAGTCAAAAGCAGATATCAGATCAGCAAAGTAATTAGCAATAATTTGTCTTATTGAAAAGGAAGAAATAGTTTGTCAAAAAATGCTATTTCTATATCTTCAATCGTCTTAACTGACTATTTACATTATAAATCAATGGACTACATGGACAGTATGGTGGCAATGAAGGCAAACATAAGAGGTACATTTTATGTGTCCTTTTTTCTGTAGTCTGATTGTCACAATCMTGTGATCTAATTATTGCCTTTAACTAGTTTTGCATTGTGATTGGCTGGCAAAAAGATGCGATTCGAAATAATGAAATTCATGCTCAAATCGCACTATTTTGAACCAATCAGATGACAAGCTTTGCTAGTGATTTCAAAAATGAATTAATCAATTCATTACTAATTCATAGGTAAACATAAGGGAAAATCATTGCTGTGCAATATTTGCCCCTGCAAAAAAACCTGCCATACCGTCGAAGTAGTCCGAACGAACCTTATGTTTCGATGGATCTACTTTCAGCAAACGAAATGTGTGCTCTAGAATCCCTGTCAAATCCATTGCAGAAAACTTGAGCTAAAGGGCAAATCAAGCAGATGTYATAAATTGCACATGAATGAAACTATGGTCAAAMGTTTGTGCTAGTCAGCTATCAAAGTATTTCATTGGTTAAGCGTTGTCTGGATGCAAGCAGTCGTCATTGGACAGAAATACTACAGGAAGAACGGCGACAARTGCTAACTTTGTATCGGTGGAAATSCCTTCAGCATAATACCACACAATGTAACAAAGATCCTTCGAGGAGCATATACCTTATCAATCTTTAAAGATCTTCTCAGGGGAAAACGAAGGTTGGATTGAATTCTTCGTTTAGGATCAAGTGCAGCATAACCATAAACACAATCTGTCCTGGATACAAAAGGAAAGAAGAGTGAAAAACAGCAACAACAACAGTAACAAAAAGACAAGACAGCCCCCAAGAACTCGAACCATTTATATCTGCTGTGCTCCGCGTTCAGTCGACGTTGCTATGTAAAGGAAGCGCCTAGCCCGCAGCACGCCCTGTGTGTAAGTTTATGTAAAATGTGTCTGTAATATAATAGCACTTCGACTTGAGAGCGCGTCGAGCTGCGTCTTTCGTAATTCAGCACCCGTGCTGTCATGAAGGAKGATTAGCACCCAAGAGATCCCATTGATATCTGATCCCTGATTCATGAATGATTTCGATTTCATGGATTATAATCTCAATCCTAAAGAAGTTTTAACTTAAAAGATCCTGTTCCCTGGTTCAAAAATAAAACCTGATTCACCATGTCACAACCCCTAAACAAAGAGGCTTAAAATCGATTAGTGCTACTGAAGCATTTTACATACTTACTCTTCCCCTTTGAGCACAGAACACACACATGGAAAGATCACTTGCGGCCAGGCTGTAAATATAACACAATAAGTATAAATAAATTGACAGTATGTACAATGAACACAGAAAATCCTCAAATAAGATTTGATGGAAAATAGCATGAAATGGGCAGACACAACACCTATAATTACTATACAACTATTATCAAAATACTACGTAATACTTAAACCAATATCGTTATAACCTTCTTCCTTCGCAAATCCAGCTTTGACGGTACTCGAGCCTAAGTCAATAATTACCACAGAATCCTAAAAACGTTCAGAAACTTATTTCTTTAATCGACAAAAACTTAACGGTAAAGAATGAAGTTGAGGGAAGTGATTGTTTAGAGAAGGTTGAGACTTCAAGCAACTTGACTATATTTAATATTCCTAATAAGCCAAAATAGTGCAAAAACTTGTATTTCACCTCAAGAGTTGAACAAACTTCTTCRTATACCGGCTCTTGGCGATAATTTGCTTCGGTTTCAATGGCCTGCTTCCAGTCTTCTGCTTCAAATTGCGAAGCACATCGAAGTTTCAAAATTGGTTTGCCTTCCTAGAATTGAAAAGAAAAAGGTATTTGATAAGAATGAGGCAGCAGCGAATGCTTCTGTTTCAGATAATAGACAACCCAACGTATCGACCGAAATCCAATGGTTACCAGGGCAACCAGCACTGAGAAACGGAACATGGTTACTATGTTATCCCCGGCGTGCGGAACGGAAAACAATGATTACCATGGCAACCCTGTCCCACTAAAAAGTGAGAAGTCTGAGAGGCAAACCAACGACCATTACACCAGTGTTGGTTGAWGCAAGCTCCATGGCCAATTGCACCAGAAACATCCGAGGATTGGCAACACAAAAGGGCGACAAAGAATTAAGACCCTTTTGATGCAATGGGTGAACGAATGGAAGCTTTGGACCTCTAAGTATTTTCACCAAAGCAAAGACCCCTTTTGTGATGTACTATCTTATCTTGCCCTGTGTATCTATGCAGTACAGCGCACGCAAGACACGCAACAGCAGTTTTATCAACTGAGTGGGGCGATATCACATCACGCCATTAGACATGCAATGCCTCCATAAAGTCATGGCAACAGATAAGACACCAACTTACCGTGACAAAAGAACTCTGCTGATGGGTTAATACAAAAGTACATAGAAGTGTCCWTCTCGCTAGTAATCTCGTCAACATCAGATGACCCGATAATCATAAAAATGTGTTGCCGACAGGTGAATTCCACTGTGTGTTCCGGGGATATGTATAGAGCGAATTTCGTATGACTGTGCAAATACATTCGCGCTACATTCGGTACATTCGCGCTGTGACCGTACCGTGTGCCGTAGCACTAGTGATGTATTGTAGTCTAAATCTTTATTAGTTTATTTGGAATCCTAGAATGCGAGTTTCCGTGACCRTGCCRTGCCGTGGCCGTGTTGTGATTTGTGCCGTTGCGCAGTCATACGAAATCCRCTCTATGAYCATACTCACAAAATCATTGTCRTTTGATATCTACTTACGAAGTCGTTTATTTCTAGCACCTTTCCAGAACTGATCACAACCTGTAAAAAAARGAAATAATTCTTCTTAAAGAATACTAGGTATGCGGATCCACTGTAAGAATGTAAAGGGGGTTTAATCTGTAACTCGGAGATTGCGTTAGCAATCGAAGAGTTATTGTAGGGGAACGCTCTGTCACTCACTAAGTCACTCACTCACTTTCCTGTAAACTGCGTTGCTAGCTTAGCACACTCTGCTAACTTCTTTATTTATTAATACCAGCTTGAAATTCATCTTCACGGTCTACCTGCTTCTTTCTCTTTCTTTCTTTTTTTTATTTTTTTATTTTATTTTTTTTCATTTTTTTTTTTAAGCGAAGTCCGCGGTGAGGCTCGAACTCCCGACCTATCACGCAAACGGCAGGTAAAACGATGGGTTTCCTGTATCATATTCGATAAAACTGCTAGTACAATGTGTTTAAAATTCTATACTTTGGCGTAAATTGTACAAATTGAAAGAAGTTCTTTTTAAAACGGTTTTCGCATCGAGTGTGTGTCGACAGAGTCAGGGAAAAACGTACATGAAACTTATGGACAAAATTGTTGTTGATGAACGTCGGCCATTAATGACTTGCGTAGAAAACAAGATTTCAAGGAAATTATTTTGAATGTGTGCTTTGGAAGTTCAGGTAAGCTATCAAAGTGGAGAAATTTACTATTCTGTGTATACATAAAGCCCCTTTAATTGCATATTGAAAAACACAAAGCAAACGATGGCGCGAGCGTGCTTGATACTCTCATCAAAATCGCGCGCTTTTTGACCAATCACAGCGCGTGTTACAAACCAATTAATTTAGAAATTTTGTAAAAGCGAATTCATTTCTATGTTTACTGCGCTTTAAAGACGGGTAACCACTATTTTTTCGTGTTGTAAGTCCGTAAGTACCACTCTCATGTGATTTCTGTGCCTGAAGRCAGCCTCACTACACCCCTTGTATATGAGCAATAGCTAACTGAAGTCTCCTCATGTCTACGCTATAATATCTCTCTTAAAATAATAAGAGTTACAAACACAAAATACACATCAAATGTCAAGTGTAAAACCAAATGTATATATACGAGAATTTTTGTATGTTAGTGAAACATAACTTTTCATAGCTGCTAATACGATGGTGTAATACAGATGTTTCATGGACATATTGTACTAGCACTTAGTAACACCGCGTACTATAAATCCTATAACAGAATTGGAATATTTACAGTATTCAGTTTAAAATTGTTCAGTACTTTAAAACGTTTTTTTTTTTTTTTTTTTGAAAAAGCTATTTACGCGTGCGTTTTTAAGAAAGATTATAAGACAAGCACAGTATTTATTATATGACAGTTTTTTTTTCAGAATCTAATTGATTCTTTACTTGAATAATACTATCATAAGGTGTTTAATTAACCAAATCGCAAACGAGACCTATAGAGAGATAATACTGAGAGATTATAATCAATACTCGTTAGGAAAAATAAATCAATCAAGAAATTGTAGCCTGTAAAAATAGGATTAGGTCCTGCGGAAAATCTGGATAGTACGGAATATGTTTCATATCCGGCAAACAAAAAAAATACGATCAATTATTATGTGTGTGTCCTATTCATCAGTGGAAACTCCAGACCATATCATGAAATATTAAATAAGTGTGTACTATGCATCTAATTTAGAATACTGATAACAACAACAATAGCATAGAATTTGCCTAAAAGTGTGAGTATGCTTCAACAATAATATCTTTAAATATGTTCATTTAGTATCGCTTTTGATATAGCTAATGAGCTTCGTGTGAGTAACTAGGCCTTAAAGACAAATCAAGAATTCTAAAAAAAGCGATCATTAAAAAGACATGTATTTGAGAATTAAACTAATCGATGCAGTGTAAAGGTATCCTCGGTCCGGTTTATTCCGTGTGTTCCGGACTATTTACATAACAAGATACGATTCTTTCAACCAATATTCAATTTTGCGCAACTAAACCATGTAATCTACTAATTGCTCTTTAAACAACTTAATGGCGGAATGGGTTTATTCGAAAAGAACATGCTCGCTTGAGTTTTCAACAAAGACATTTGGAACTGAGTAAATCGATTTCATTCAATTGTACGTTGAACGGAATAAAACGTCCAGGAGAAAACAACATTGGCAATGGAGAACCGATTTTTAAACCAAAGTTTATCGAGTACAGGATTTTCTTTGGCGATGGACAGTGATCAAATAGCAAAAACAGTTGCTTACTGCCTTCTTTTCTTCGTTTCTTTTGCTGGGAACTCCTTTATCGTGAGAAGTATTTTTAGAGATAATCGTCTGAAAACATCAACGAATTTCTTGGTGGCAAACATGGCTGTCAGCGATATTCTTTCTTCATGCTTTTTACTGCCTTTAAGAATTATCGAGGTCAATTACAATGAAAGATGGCTAGTCAAGGGTAAAGCTGGGTTAGCACTCTGCAAGGTAGTACTATTTATTCCAGATGTTTCAACGGCTGTATCTTTCTATAGCTGTGTGTTCATTGCCATTGATAGGCTGTTCGTGGTAGCMTTTCCAAGCAAAGGGGGTTTCAGTAGATCACGACTCAAATTCATCATTCCAGGAATTTGGACGTTTTCCATCATCATAGTTTCGCCGTACCTATATTATTTCAATCTACGCGAATTAGATGGAATTATTTTCTGTTTACAAAGCAATGAGCTTTCATTCGTAAGCTACATTTATGTTTTAATGACGTTAAATATCGGTATACCAATTCCTGTGGTAACCATTATTTATGTATTAGTCGTCTACAAACTTCGTCGATATAATATTCCTGGACTGTTTTCTGATCGTTGTAAACAACGAAGACATCTCAGGAACAAAAAGGTCTTAAAAATGTCTGTAGTGGTGGTTTCCCTTCTTTATTTCAGCTGGAGTTTCCTTGCTATATATACTATCCTAAATATAGAAGATTGCCTAGCTAACATGTCAACTTCTATGAAGAAAAACATACAGTTTACAGCCCAATTCATCGCGTATTTGAGTTATGCATATAATTTTTTCATCTATCTTTACTTCAATAAGATCTACCGACAAAATTTTAAAAGCATGATAACAATATGCTGACCATAATTGCTGCCTCAGGGAAGCGAGTGGGATTGCTGAATATTAACCGTGTACCGTGTATTCGAGACAAAACGCCTACATGTTCGCTCTACTATTTCGCAAAGCATTAATTAATCCCTCCGCAATCTTTTCTCCAAATAACACTGCTTTGAATYTCAACAATATGGCGCATTTTATAGATGTAAAATAGCATAAATAATCAAATATAAAAAAGTATATGTGCTGTGTTAGAAGCCAAGTAACAAGCTAAAGAATCTGTCTAGTCAAGTGTTCAAAGAAAAGAAACTCTAATTATAGTTACAGTTAGAAACGATCAAAGTGAATTCATAGCTTACTTAAAAGTACATCAGCTTATAGTGCTAGCTATGAACAAAAATTAGAAAAAGGTGCATACTATATTTTGATTCGGTGAAATATTTAAAAACAAATAATTGCAGCAAAATAAAAGGTCTGAATGGTCCAAAATCTCGGAGTACATTAAGGAATTCCGTCTCCTCATTTCCCCTTGTTTACATTAGACTATTATACCAAAGACTGTATTAGAAACATTATCACTCAATTAACACCAGTTTATAGAGTGAAAATTGAATACGCCCGTGTAAAATAGATAGCACAAGATGGTTAGAGTGATTTCCCGTCGTCTGTAAAAAACTGAATATGACTGATGAACAACAAACGAAAACCTCGAATAGAAAGTTTACTATCAACTATATTTTATTGTGATGGTGACTTCCTTGTCGAAAACGTTTATTTTTTTCTTTTTATTGTGAATAATTTATAACTATAATTTTATTGTATATATTATCCGTTATTGCATTCCAAGTTGCAAACACCAAAAGATTGTTATCACCAGAGAGTGGGCTGTAAATATAAGTCATTTTTTATTTGTTTTTAGTTACAAAAAGAGATACTGTATTGTTTAATGAGAAATGCAGTTGCTTTGACGGTGATTTTTAGATGTCTTAAATATATCATATGGATTCACTTTGACAATATAACTTTTACACCATTTATTAGACTTAGAAAATAAACATTCACCATTTAACACTGAAGCGAAGCGAAGCTGAGGGAAACATCAGCGGTCGAGGGACCGCAAAACATACTGTTTCCCGAGGTTTCCAGTAAATAAGTGCTTTATTATCATATCAAGTGTCAAAGAGAGCAAAAAACGTAAATAAATGAGGTGTTTTACATGTTGTAAAACATATAGTGAACTRAAGAGGTTTTAAAAAACGAAACTAGTTTTCACTATTCTTGGTAGTCCCTGGCCTGTACGTACGAAAATCGTTACGTTGGAGTGATTTACATTTGTARAGTTTATGGTTTTTATGGTTTTCAACCATTMCCATGAGAGTGAGCAAAACAAAAAGGTCCACCAGTCACGGTGGTGGTTTTCTTTTGTCAGGTCCACCAGCAATGGCGGACATCTTTTGTTTAACTTTCTCTCCTGGGAATGGTTGAAAACCATCAATTAATAACACAATGAATACAATAACTATTTGTAGACGAAATTAAATGTTTCAAAACAATTTTGGAATTCACCGTCCGTAAATGTGGCATTTTCACGACACTGAAGAGTGTTTTTCTGCGATTTTGTACTTATTGACGGTCCACAACATATTATTGACCGCTGGTGGACAGTTTCCGGGAAACAGTAAAATTTTGTGACTTTCACGTGGTACACTCTCGACCAATAAGATACTAGGAAAAGTGAACTTTGACACTTGATATATAATAATTCATGATATTCCTACATTGATGAAAATCAAGCTGCCACTGGCATCACAACTCGAATCGTTCCGAATCGAATCGTTCCGAATACGGAACGATACGATGAATCAAATTATAATTAGCTAACAAATAGAATTTTAAGTAAGCGATTTATGAATATAATATACACAGGGAACTCGGTAAAATAAGTGAATAAATTCACTAGAAAACAATTACAATAAATCAATAATTATGAACACAAGTAAAGCAGGCTCAAATTTACAGGAAAGTGAGTGACTGAGTGACTTAGTGAGTGACAGATTCGTCCCACTCCAATAACTCTTCGTTTGCTTTGCAATGTTCGAGTTAAAAAAGTATATCAGCTTTGTAGCAAATTCTCCGGCATTTACATAGATTTCGACAATTTTTCACATGACCCGAAAGAACATAGGGTCAGTATATCGTACGAGTACCCGATGATGACAATATACCTAAATGTAAGTCATTGGACTTTGCTACGCCGAAAATAATTCATTATAACTCTCTGCGTATCAAAAGTTATTTTTACTTTCAACAGCTTTTAAAATCAAGGGGGTCAGTAATTTTTTATTCATGATATTTGAGTTTCATTTCTATACTTTTCACGTTTTCTTCTAAGTTTCCCAATAAACCCTTTTAGCGATCTCTTTTACGCTGTTTTAGCCTCAAAACCATGTAATAAATTCTTTTATTCACAACAGCCCGTGCAAATGCAAGAGATCTGTGAGTATAGAAGACAATGGAAATAGTTTGAAATCTCACGAGTTTTATCTACATTTCTGAATATTTTAGCACACAATTGAGGTTAACACAGCGTAAAAGAGATCGCGAAACTCGACTATTATGCTTGTAGATCTTTTCTCAGTGTTAAATAAAACAAGAAATCAAAGGTACAGTCGTTAACCTACCGACGATCCCTGGAGTTCCACCATCCCCAGTGGTTCGTTGTTGCGATGATCCTAAAAATATAAAGAACAAAGGTCCAAACCCTTCTAGTATTTTCACTGCATAATTAATTAACTTATCGGAAAGGAATATGTAGTAACCCAAATTTCAACGGGATCTCGTGCATAAACAATACCCTGCGTCCTTTGTACACCCTGCGAGTCAAGAAACCACTTTATCAGTTTTACGGAGTAAGGGCTCAGTTTTTGCCCCACCCTCCTACCCTGGTGGAGAGGTACCATTCACATCTTCGTTGTATACTTATTAACTCAGCATTCGCGGATTTCGCTTACCMACAATTTAATCATTCCTGATGAGGTATGAGTATGCACTGAAGATGTGGAACTATCCAGTTTCCTATGAGACGTTCCGAAATTCAAAAGGAGACTGGGAATGAGTAAGAAAATAGTTCGTACTGTATTCAGGCCTCGTCATATTGGCGAAAGGTTAAAGTTGTTCTATGTACTTTCAATATCGCATGGTTGACACCCAAGGTCTTTCTGCACGAAAAAAAGGGGTTTCAGTTTACCTCAAAGTAAAATAACTTTCCATCAAATGCCTTGAAATGACGTTTTTTCCAACCCTTAAAAACAGACGACTGAAAAAGAGCACAGTTTACAATTAACTTCAACAGCTAACATGGAGAAAGACAACATGCATCATAATAATCAGCTATATATTGATAATCTTGCTTCTGTATCATTGATAACGGCCCGGACTATAGATTTGGCAACAAGCAACAGATGTTGAGGTTTTATTAAGCTTCTTCCATTTTTCTCTCGGAAATTCATCGAGTACTAGTTTTTCATCCCTCGTCGTTTTAGCTGTTGCATTTTTGTTTTGTTTTGTTTTGGTGCTATGACGATATTAGTGGTGACTGACTGACTTTCCAATATGCTTACATCTCACAATCCTGTTTTGTCACTAGTCAAAACTTGAGTTGTACGTTTTGACAAGTYTTTTCTGTTTGGACGAAACGCTTTTCACACGTGTGAGACATTTGTTTTGCTGTTCTGATTGGCTAGTATGTATTTTGAAAGAGATTTTCAAATGAAAAAATGAGAAAATCTCAGTATGTATATGACAAACCAAATATATAATAGATAAAAATGACTAAAATGCAGTATCATTAATACACTTAAAGCCAACTCATGCTCTTGTTCGTAGAAGTCTCTTCTACGAATAGAACAAAGTATGATGATCAAAGCGACCCCACTTCTATAAACTCTGTATGGATCCACTCTTTGTTAGCAAGGTCCTTACGATTTCATTTTCCCTAATGAAGAACACTGAACGCTTTTGTTGGTGCTGTTGACGACATACCTTATTGAAATCGCTATTATTTAATAGGCCCAGCAAAAGCATTCGTATTCCACTAAACCGTTATAATTGATAGATGTAAATAGATACTTCGTAATGCTAACCTTTTTTTGTTTGTAACTACTCGGTAGTTTCTCCATGTAACCAGACATGCGTACAATACTCATGGAAGGAGAAGAAGGCGTCTATAAAACACACAGAAACTTGGCAAATTAATGCTTGCTTTCAACGCCCTCGCGTTCGTTTCTGCTTGGGAAAGATTCAGTTTTAAACTTTAAAAAAAAATTACTGAGTCGACTCGTTAAAAATCATGAGGTAGTAGAAAATGTTTTGCTGTTTTTCAAATAAATAATTGCTTAAAGTTTTAGAGCTTCCATTTCGACGGAAAAAATCTAAAACAGTTCATTAATGCGCTAAGTGTATCATCAAGATAGCTATACTAACTTCTACTTTGACTAATTTTCTCAGGTGTTAACATTCAAGGTCAATTGTTAAGCGGGTAGTACTAACACCGTCTTTTTACTAATACATACTTGTGAATGGGCTTCTTTTTCTTTGCTACATTCACCAAATAAGTCTTCAAGCAGCTTCGTCTGAAATGCATATCAAGCATCYTTATTTTTAATTATCTATAAGAAGCCAAAATATGTTTTTTTTCTGATATAAGAAAACCACAACCAAAAGACATGTTATTATTCTATTTACGCATATGCGCAAACACATTCTCTGTGTGCTGTGAATTTAATGATTAACATATTCTTACTGGGTCCCAGTCCCGCATCAGTATTTGTTCCTTGATAATGATGCCATCACCTTGATCTTCTCCGCTATCGATGAATTCACCAGTCTACAGTAACAATATAAATAAAGCGTTTACAAATAACATTGTGCAATCCAATACAAAGGCTGATTACAGATGGATTTCTRCAGGGATAAAACAATACCAAGTAAACTAATCTCTTTGATTTCAAATAACAGCTTCAGCAAACTATTCGAAACTCGATTACTTTTTTGTTGTTGCTTTTTAGTCTTGGGATTCACTGACGTTCTCTTAAATTATTTTAGCTAGCATTAAATATGACATTCAGATCCTTTTACAACATATAAAAACCTCAGAGTTTTGCCAAATTGYACAGTGTTGGAGATTTTTGCAAAAAAATAAAAATGTAATAAAGATGTAAATTACTTGAATTGACTTATTCTGTCTCGAACTATTTCAAACAAAGACTCTATCGTGAAAATGAAACACCCCATAGCTTAATGGCGGCAGCTGATCATTGTCGCATCTACAAGAAGCCCATGTTTCGCGCCAAAAATGATAAATAGCTACATATATAAGGCGTAGACTTGCCCAAGTCGGACTCTCTTTTACTCCTAGGAGTGGGTGAATATTGAGCGCAAAGCGCGATGGTCGAGCGCGGAGCGCGAGAGGCGAGCCGCAATGCGAGTCCGTCCGTTGTACGGGAGATACGGAACGAGCGAACGAGCGGAATTGATTAAAAAAAATCTACATAAATAAATCTATATTTTATTGGTTGATTTACATAAGACTAATAGTAAAAATACTACATTCTTACCTTGTTAGCTGGTGCTGCGTCTAACATTGGCATTGACTCGAGTGCGCTATAGGGAGAGGGTTTGGGAGGAGGCATTGAACCAACACCTTTAGCTTCATGTACTTTTTCATGGAGATTCTTTTCCAACGTTTCTTGAAGCTTTTTCATGCCTTCATCTGCACTCATTGACTCTCTTACTATCATGAAATAAAAAATAACCTTRGATTTAAAAGCTGTTTGAAAGGTCAGCCAAAGATGTACGACCAGAATATAATATCGATGAAACATCTCCAGAATATCCAATCGCCCATCTAATGCTCTGTTTACCACATAAACTCCTTTTTACAGTACCTTGAGAAAATTCTGACCGCTAA